TAATAAAATATCTTCCAATAGCACTGCCATTCGAAGGCATACAAAAAGGTGTGCTTCCAAAGCAACGGAAGTAAAATAAGGGAAACAATGTTCTGCGTTATTATTATTTCGTTTAGAACTGAGTATAAAGGCGTTTCCACACAAAACCAGGAGTCAAAATCGAAGCACGTCAGGCCTATCTCTTAAAAAAATGTGAAATTTCATAAATTGTACCAAATTATTAGCTACCTTGCCACATTGATAGGAAGCAAACAATAATCTGGGGATTTAATGTTGTGCGTGGAAATGTTCAGTTATTTGTACAATGATTTTTTGGTGGGGAGCGGAGGGGGAAAAGGTGTGGCGCCTAAAACTTCACTCATTATAAAAAGCACTATATAAACTTGAAGAAAAGTTTCATTCTCCTCACTGCCCTTTCTACAGGCACTCGGGGGACCCATTTCAAAATGCGGTAGGATTAGCATTTTTACAAAGAAATTTTAAACTCGTGTTAGACCATTAGCAGTATTTTTGCGCAAAACTCTTTTCCGCGTTGGTGGCCTTCGGCCACGCTAGAAAAAATAACCTCATCAGTCTAAATTNCACAAAACCAGGAATCAAAATCGAAGCACATCAGGCCTATCTCTTAAAAAAATGTGAAATTTCATAAATTGTACCAAATTATTAGCTACCTTGCCACATTGATAGGAAGCAAACAATAATCTGGGGATTTAATGTTGTGCGTGGAAATGTTCAGTTATTTGTACAATGATTTTTTGGTGGGGAGCGGAGGGGGAAAAGGTGTGGCGCCTAAAACTTCACTCATTATAAAAAGCACTATATAAACTTGAAGAAAAGTTTCATTCTCCTCACTGCCCTTTCTACAGGCACTCGGGGGACCCATTTCAAAATGCGGTAGGATTAGCATTTTNGCGCCACACCTAAAACTTCACTCATTATATAAAGCACTATATAAACTTGAAGAAAAGTTTCATTCTCCTCTCCTACAGGCACTCGGGGGACCCATTTCAAAATGCGGTAGGATTAGCATTTTTACAAAGAAATTTTAAACTCGTGTTAGACCATTAGCAGTATTTTTGCGCAAAACTCTTTTCCGCGTTGGTGGCCTTCGGCCACGCTAGAAAAAATAACCTCATCAGTCTAAATTTGGTTACGCCATCCACAGTATTTTTGCTCAAAATCCACCTCTAAATTTACAAAAAAATTCATAGTTTATTGGACATTTGTACAGAAAAAATTTCTTTCTTGTTTAAATTTAAGCATAAAGTACTCAACCATTCTACATTTTGATAAAGCTACACCTTATTGATTATTATATGAGTTATTACAAAATACGAAAAAAATTCCAGCTTACTTTTATATGGAAAAAATCTGATTTATTTTTTCTATCACGGGTGGGCCAAAAAAAAAGAACCTGGTTTTTGGAGCAGATATATTTTACGGAAACTGCGAATTTATTTCACTTTTCTGTGTGAACTTGATGTCTTATAATAAAACAAAGAACCAGGAACACAAACAAAGCAAGAACTACAAAAAAATTATGGCTTTATTATGCAAAAAATCCGAAATTCCTCTGTCACAGGTGGGACAACGTTTGTCACGGGTAGGACACGTACGAATTTTCATATGAAAAGGAGCTTTTAGTGTGATCCATATATAAAGATTAGTTATTAAAAAATATAAGAAGCCAAGTAGGGGTTCAATTCACTCGCGTTTTATCTTAGGATAGTCCCCTTTATATCGCAGAAAATGCTTAGCACCGTCAGCGAAAAGAATTATTTAAAATGAACGCGATTTCCTAGGGTCTTGATATTTTCACTTTTATATTTTATATTTCACTCAAATTTAATGGTCTACAAAACTGCATACCTAAAAATTCTGAACAAAAAGTTTAAAATTATTCGGTGTAATTGTTAAAGTTTGTTGAATTTTTATAATTTTTATAAGAAGTTTAAAATTGTTCAGTATAAAAAGTTTGAAATGTAGATTTATGTGGTTCTGGTTAGGTAATGTGCTAAACTTTTATAAAAAAAAACTATAAACATTAGATTAACAAAATAAAACACCAAAACTGGTCAATATGTAACTTAACTTAATCAGCTTACCACAAGGGTATATAGATAATGGACGAGTTCGCGCATCCCCCGCTTCTTCCCTGCGTCCACCTCAACAAACAAATAAAGCTTATCAGCCCTGTAAACCTACCTTTGACAACTGTCCCACACATAGCAGTCACGGGTGGGACATGCTTCTCTGTTGAATTATTCTTATATAACTACGTGGAAACGACAATGCAATTGTGGTAATCATTTGCAATTATATTCTAACATTATGTAACAAACACGAAAAACAACCTCAACTTCTGTAATTAAATATATGTAACAACTTTTAAATAGCCTTTTTTGTCACGGGTGGGACAAGACCAATACTGCTTAATAATAACTTATAATATAGATAAAGCAGTCACACAATTTAATATATAACCCAATTTTATTAAAAGCAGATGAGTTCTACTATATATTTTTCTTACCAAACACCTGAATTATGAATCGCAAATTATTTGACAGTGCATTCAAAACAACCTACTTTAAACTCAATCAAAAAATTTACTTAGAACTTTAATTCAAAACGTAAAAAAAAGGTAATAAAAATGCATTTAAAGCTTTAATATGTTATTTTTTAGTTGATTCAAGATTTTTACAAATGTCTTATCCACACGTTTGTTAGTTTTATAAAGAAAATAATTTTTGCACTGAGGTTCGCTTTCCCATGGAACCTCCCATATGTTAAAATTTTTTTAACGCGTTTGGGCATGATAATCCAAAATCATAGTACAAATATCCGAACCGTAACCCAACTGTCTTCACTCACGGACAACGGTAACTCGTTTAGAGGTTTGAAAATATTTTTCGTCAGCAATTTGTCATAAAACTAGACCTTATTACATACCCTATCTTCGGAAAAGCAAAAAACTTTATTTTCGTCCCTTGGAACAGGTGTACCGACTTCTTGCAGTTTGGAAACGAGAAAGACTTTTATTTTAATATTTTCATCCATGGATAAATTATACCAGGTGAAGTANATTGCGAAGATTTTGTATTTCTCTAAATTACCGTTATATGGGATGTGGACGTGGTTATTGTCCGATTTTTTAAATTTTCGGCCATATGATCGTTTGTGCCGCAGAAACAAAAAAACAACTAAGCATTTTTTAACACCCCCAAAATAGTTTCATACTTGTAGCAGTTATGAGAATTTTATTTGGAGGCTACTTTTTCGGGTTATTTAATATAACAAGCGCAATTTACAAAAACTTGCGTTGATATTTTGAGAAGTTGTTGCTGATGGTCTCCCGCGTTTGATTTTATAAGAAGTTCATACTTACATGAAAAAAGTGCAAAAATCCGTCACCAATAAAAATAAAAAAATTGTCAAAAATCAACGCATTTTTTTAGCCGTTTGAAACTTGCACTTCATTGGACTCAATTTGTATGGGCTATAAACCTGCATACTCAAAAATTTTCTAAAAATTCAGAATAAAAAGTGGAAATTTTGATGAAGATCTGAAACTGTGATTTAAACGGGTTTGGTTAAAGCTTAGACGATAATTCGCACCTATTATTTTGCCCATAAGCGTAGCTATGTACATTAGGGTGGCCCAAAATAAGAAAAATCGGAATTTTAATGCGTTCAACCTTTAGGATTGCTCTATATCGAAAAAATATATCCCTTTTTAATTTTGAAATCCAAAAATGTTTAGAGGTCGCTCAATGCACTCAAAGTTTTCCATGCATTTTATATGGGAAAAAAAAACTTTTCGTAAAAATGGTATATAATTCTTGAAAATCAATATTTTTCGATCGGAAAACTTTGGTTCTCTTCTGGAGACTTCCAATATCAATACCCAATTTTCTATTTAACCACATTTCACATTGACCACCCTAATGTACATGCATACATACATATGTAAGATTTAACCCTATATATAAACATTCGGACACTTTTTAGAGTTAGAAAAGTTAATCCTCCTTACGAGCGCATAACAAAGTCAGAAAATAGCATATTTACCTGCTTAGAAGTGCACGCCAATACGAGTCCAAGTTAGAACTTATATGTATTAAAGACTGAAACATGATTCTTCCTGGGTCTTAAAAACAAATATTCTTCATAATTCTGATTATAATAGTCCAAAACTATCCATTGCTGCCAAGTTTTTCCGTTTAAATACACTAGTCGAAAGAAAATTTTAGGCAATACCATGCGTATTTTCGATACGACTCGACTCTGGAATGACGAGTCACGACACTCGCAATGAGGCGGATAGAAAAATAACAAACACAAATTTAGCACAAAAAACATTGTGAATATTTAAAGAAAATTAATACGAAAATTAATTAATTAATTATAAGTGAGATGGGGTTCTAACAAACTCGCCAGGCATAAATGATTTAAGCAACAGTAGCATTAAATGAAACCGAATAATAGAAAGCACTTTTGTAATTGACGTGCACTGAACTTAATAGAAATGCAAACATCACAGAATAGGTGACTTTAAGCACTTGACAAAAAAAACTTGAACCCATTAGTTGAAGAGCACTCAACTTTTAATTAAAACAAACGATAACAAGTTCATCAATTACATATAAGAAATGCATACAGGGATTTTCGTATGATGGAATATATTTTTTACGTCACTGTGTGCAATACATACAAACGAACCCATCTGGCGCATGTCTCTCAATTGCTGCAATTAAAATTGAGAAAAATAAAAACACTGCTTGTTATAGTAATATGCATATGCATATGAATATGTATGTAAATGTGTATAAGCATTTGCTTGTAGTCGTTTTTTTTTTTTTAATAGTCATAAAGAAAATTAATAAGCACAAAGAAAAGTGCAAGTGTCGGTAAAGCGATTAGCGATTGTTGATAAAGAAGCTTTTCTATTAATAGCTTAGCAAACTGCAAATTTCCATAATTATTTATAATTTGTCTTTAAAATAAAATCACAAAAGTATTAGTTTTTAGTTTGTATATAGTTACGTATACATATATTTTTTTCTTATTTAATTACTTTATTAAAGCATTTTGTGTAACAGCGTGTTTAGTCTTGAAAATTGTACAAACATATTTTCCTTAAAAGAACACTCGTTAAAGATAAGTATATAAAATACATAGAATAATTGGCATTTTAATTCAATACACTGAATTTAAAAAAGTTGACACCTGAAATTGACGAAAAAATAAAACTGTTATTTTAAGGCAGAAAAATAGAGAATACGAAGTTAATGTGAATAATATATTATGGGTATTCACTACTGTCAGGTAAACGGGTTATCTGGTTATGAGGTTATAAGTATAACCAATAAAAAATAATAATTAATTTTTTAACAGGTAACCCAAAGGGCAGGGAGGTGTGTAACCACATTTTTTTTTTTGTGTAAAGTTCAAATGTATCTGAGGAATTTTCTGTGTAATACCATAATTTTTTGTAATTACCATTTGGGATAATGCGTGTTTCAAATGTATCCAACTGCCTGAACAGTCCTAATTTTTGTGATTTATCGAAGAGGTTCTAAAAAAAATAATAATGACATTATTTCCAACACTGTAAGCTCACGCTATCAAATATTTAGTCATGCACCATAACACTGTACAGCACTCGGCTGGGTATTGGATCAAAGCAAATTTTTTTAGAGATTGGGAGTTAGCCTCCGAAATCGAGATATGGGCCTTCGAATTTCGAAATTGGACCTTTGGTAAAAATTATTTTTAATTATTGCATGTAAAAAGCAAAAAAAGTAAAACTACAGACGTGGTCCGCCTTTTGCTCTTATTTATATGGTAATACATTTTTTTGGGAAGGCTTATATTACAGATGCTATAACTGGTCAAAGGTGAGATCTTCGAAAATTTAAAAACTGAATATTTCAAACAATTTTGAACTGAGTCTTTTCATATCGTTTTAAAGTTGATTTAGCCCCTTTTCTTGTGATATGCATATTTGTATACATCGCATATAAAAATTTGAGAAAAAACACATTTAAATGAAAAAATACCTAAAAAATCAGTTCAAAATTGTTTGCAATATAAGGAATTTAATTTTTCGAAGACCTGAACTTTGACCCCTTATAGCACCTGTAATATGCACAAAAAAGTTATATACCATTTAAATAAGAGCAAAAGGAGGACTACGTCTATATTTTTTGGTTTTGTAGTCAATCTCTTAAAAAAATTAGTTTGGTTCAATACCCAGAATATGAGTAATTAATTTTAAAAAGTTCATTTACGACAATATTTCACTTACCACCACATCATAGCCTCGTTGGCTGCGTAATCCCATATCTTTTAGGTTAAAACCGATCGGATAGGGAGCGCCATCTGCGCGGCGGTTGACAAATGCCACAGCATATGAATAATCCCTTAAGAAAAAAGCAGAAATACATAAATCTGTATGAATGTATATTAGACCGTACCAGAAAAATAATTTCGCCGTACAAACCAGGGTCTAAAGAATTTTTGCAAGACAATTTCGATTTTTTTATTTGCCGAACATTGGCATTTACCACCGGATCTGAAAGTACGATAAATGGATGTTCTGGTCTCGAGGAGATTTTTTTTTGTTTCATTGACTTCAAGTACCTCGTTCAAGACTTACCCACCAGATCTCAGCTCCTACCACTCTAAGATAACACCCTTATGTCAGCTCTCTAAAAATCATTAAACTTTTCAAGGGAAGATGTTTGAATATTCCAGTAGAACTACATATTTTAAAAAAAAGATTTTATTGCCGAATATTTAACCAAAAACCATATATATATTATTTTTTTCTAAATTGCCTTGCAAAAATACTTTTTACTCAGCGGTGTATGGCGAACTATTTTTGTCTGCTTGTAAGGTGGTACGGTCTAATGTGCATACATACCATTCATATACCATCTATTTGTGTACCCCCAAACTTACCCCGCTGCATTTCTTGGCGTAATTGGACGTGTCCAAACTTCCACATTCTTTTGTATAAGCACACGACGACCCTGAATACCTAAGGGATCCTGATTCACCGCAATGATCTCACTGTATGGAGATAAAATATATTTTAATATAGAGTAGATGAAATTGATAAGCTTTGATTCACAAAACTAACCGATTTTGCAAAATCGCTTTGATTTCAGGACGTACCGCGGCCAAATCGTTTGACATGATTAGCGGTGCTGCTAATATGGCCCAAACCGCCATTTGTAGTTTGCTTTGGTCATAGCTGAGACCATAATTTCCCAGAATCAGCTGCATGATTAAAAAAATGGCATAAGAAGCAGTTAAAAAAAAAACCAACTACAAACTAATTACACACCATATCCGGATCATTCCAATGACCAGGTCCACCATGCGGTTGTATGCGGTTTTGGTTTTTGGAAAAGTAGTCCATTATCTTAGCAACTGACTCAAAGGAGTCATCAATATCATCATAGTTGCGCCACAAGTTACAATGCTGCTTGAGCGCCTCGTAGTCGGGCTTAAATACACGTAAGGAATGATGTGTTATGGCGTGTTAAATAACATACATACGGGTGTTTCACAAAAAAAGTGTCGCTCGTTCCGCCGGAATTATAAAATTTATTACATTTAAGACTTCCGCCAATATATTTCGAAAAAAATTAAGATTTACGTGTGCTAGACCGATTTGAAAATACCGCTAAAAATCTCATTCTTTTGCTTCCGTTGATAAGCATTTTGAAACATTTTTTTGAAGACCTTATTTCAAAAAAAAAAAACTAATTTCATTAAAAAAAAATCGATTTTTAGAGATATTTTCAAATAGCTACAGCTCACGTAAATCTTAAAATTTCTGCGGAATATTAAAGTACTATAATAAATTTTATATTTCTGATGGAAAAACATTACCGATTTTTTTGTATTTACAGTGATGCAGCCTAATGCGCTAATATACAAATCTTGACTTACAATTTTGCCCTCATATTCCTGATAGACCGGCCAACTGCATGAGTACACCATTGGGCGTCCAGTTTCGTTTAGTAGTCGTCCAAATTCCGGATAACCAGCATCCATTGTTGACGTGTCTGCATAGCAACCATCCAACTTTACATAGTCTACATCCCACTCGGCAAAGGTTTGCGCATCCAGTGCCATGTGATTGATGACACCCGGATAACCGGCGCAGGTGTGAGTGCCATAATCCTGATATAAACCGAATTTCAAGCCAGCATTATGTATCTGTGGGTGCGGAAAATCAGATTAATAAATATAGTTTGTCTTTGAAGCATATCTGCATTTTTACATAGTCAGCCAAGTGATTGAGACCACTGGGGAAGCGATATCTATCAGCTACTAGTTTATTTGTTGCATTATCGCGATATTTTTCCAGCCAACAATCGTCAATAATGACATATTCGTAACCGGCAGCAGCATATCCTTCCGAGACCAGCAAGTCAGTGGTGCGTTTGAAGAGATTTTCACTTAAAAAATAAAAAAGAGACTATGAAATAACATAGTGCAACACAATTACTTTATAGGCGGTTAAAGTTTCTACTTTTTGATTTAAAATTCACTATAATTTTTTTTATAAATCGACTTCAAACATTGTTCTGCACCTTCTTCAGTTTTAGTTCAGAGAGTTGCAATTCATATTCAGAAATTCCATTTCAAATTCTGATAGTTACAACTCAAGTTCAGATTTTCCATTTCAAATTCAGAATTCTCACTTCAAGTTCAGAAAATTGCAATTCAAATTCAGAATTTCCATTTTAAATTCAGAAAGTTGAATTCTAATTCAGAATTTCCATTTCAAATTCAGAATTTTCACTTCAAATTCAGAAAGTTACAATTCAAATTCAAATTCAGAATTTCCAATTGCAATTCAGAAAACTACAATTCAAATTAAGAATTTCCATTTTAAATTCAGAAAGTTGAATTCAAATTCAGAATTTACATTTCGAATTCAGAAAGTTGCAACTCAAATTCAGAAAGATACATTTCAAATTCAGAAAATTTCCATTTCAAAGTCAGAAAGTTATAATTCATATTCAGAAAATTCTCATTTCAAATTCAGAAATTTCCAATTTAAGTTCAGAAAATTTCATATTGACTGTACGATTTTGAGATTTTAAGTTGTATAGGAGCAACAGACAGAGTTAAACTGATTCTGCTTGCGATGCACGCAAACTATTAAACATACATATAGCATATTTTTGTAAGAAGATTCTATTTTAAATTGCAAGTTCAACGAAATTTTACAATATGGAGGCCACGCGAACCAAATTTAAAAAGTTTTAAGTATGAACACATTTTTAAGAGTGTTGCCACCTTTTTAAAGATTTAAAATCAATTTTATTAATAATTAAAATTTATATTTTTGTCATTATGAAAAGAAGCATTTCCGCATTACCGGTCATCAACCCATTTCTATTTTTAACCGACTTCCAAGAAAGGAGGAGGTTATCAGTTCGTCGGAATATTTTTTTTTTTTTTTGTTGATGTATGTTACCGCATAACTTTGGACCACGTCAACCGATTTNGGTTTTTTTTGCTAAAAATTACTTTTTTTTTTTATGTTGGGTTGAACCGGGCTAGAACCCAAGCCCTGCTTAATGTAATTCCACCAAATTAAAGGATCTTCTTGTCTGGGTATAAGNTATGAGAGTTGAAGTCGGTTTTTTTTGCTAAAAATTACTTGTTTTTTTTATGTTGGGTTGAACCGGGCTAGAACCCAAGCCCTGCTTAATGTAATTCCACCAAATTAAAGGATCTTCTTGTCTGGGTATAAGGGGCAGCTGTAAATATTTCTCCATTTCTAAACTGAATCACTAAAAAACTGGAACCAGTATCAGAGCGGTTGGCGATTTCCCCAAGCATTGCTAAATATCCTGGTCTCGCTCTTTAATAGAAGCTGTGACTAGAATTCGGCCTTTTTCATATGATTCAGCAGGTTTCTCCGTGCTGATATATATTTTGACGTTTCTCCCCTATGTATCAAAAATAATCGATAAATCCGGGTTGCAGACGGAGAAGTTATCTTTTTAATACAGGATTATATCATAACTTGGATTTCAGAGGAGAAATTTTGTATTCTTAGTTACCTATTGGATAGTTCAGCGCGAATAAGCAGATAATCTAGCTAACCAAAAAAAACCTTAANTATCATAACTTGGATTTCAGAGGAGAAATTTTGTATTCTTAGTTACCTATTGGCTAGTTCAGCGCGAATGAGCAGATAATCTAGCTAACCAAAAAAACCTTAAAATTCCTTATCTTTTTGGACTAAAATCTGAAAAGTGTCAAAATGCCAGAGCGTAAGCAAAATGCGCTCACTAAAAGAGAATAACAGGAAAAGTAAAGGAACGCAAAAAACCAAATTTTTAGTCCAAAGAATGGCAACAACAAAACTAACGTCACATAAGAATGGAAATGTATGTACAAAACACATTCACACAAGCACAAGCGCAATAAACACTTACTATACCCTGCAGCAGTTCAGACTCACCCTAGGTTAGCCCTCAGATAGTCCCTATTGTAACCAGCACTAGTCCCTCATAATTCCCCTGCCAATGGAAAAGGACCGGTCCAATCAACACTGACCGTAAGATAGTCCTGGACTAGTCCAATTTTGGAGATTTTTTTCGTCGGAGTAAGATTGCGCTCTGCACTTCACAGATGCTTTTTCATAATTCGGAAACACAAAAAAAATAAATTATATCATTTTATAACCATGTTGCTTCTGACGGCATTTGAACCCGGACCCTCCTGAAAGCTAACAAATAGTGGCAAGCATCTCTGCGCACTGAGCTACAGCTACGCATGTAAATGTGTGTTCAAATGTTCACTTTGCATCAAGGCCAGACCAAGCGATTGGGACATTTACAGGGTGGTGTTCTTTAAATTTTTTTTTATTAAATTGCAAGACAACACCACCCCCTCACTGCCAAACTGTACTTTTCGTCTATCTCTAGGCCGGTTCCTTGGGGACTGGTCGAAGGCTGACATTTTCGATGCAAGCAAATGTCCAATTCTGACCAGTCAAATCTTAACCAGTGAAGTACTAGTCCTTAAAGGAAAATTGGCCGCCTTACTGCTGCAGGGTATCAACTATNCATTTACAGGGTGGTGTTCTTTAAATTTTTTTTTATTAAATTGCAAGACAACACCACCCTCTCACTGCCAAACTGTACTTTTCGTCTATCTCTAGGCCGGTTTCTTGGGGACTGGTCGAAGGCTGACATTTTCGATGCAAGCAAATGTCCTATTCTGACCAGTCAAATCTTAACCAGTGAAGTACTAGTCCTTAAAGGAAAATTGGCCGCCTTACTGCTGCAGGGTATCAACTATTTTTGCCTCCTAATTTCAATTCACTTTTTCTACTTTTTAGATTATTCTCACTTTTTGCGTATTCTTTAATTTCTGTTAATTTAAATTCAGTTGAGTTTGACACTTTTCAAGATTTTGCCAGCAAAAATTCTTCTGACTAAATCTGACTACTTCGGACTGATGAGAGTTACTCTCACTGAGTGTTGCTCTCTCATTTTTGCTGTCATTTCCGAGTTAAGGAACGCTTTTTGGACTAAATCTGACTATGTCGGACTTTTTCTGGGAGATAAGGAACGTTCCTAATATTAGGTGCAATCCCGTATTCCTCG